GTTCTAGGCTTGTATAGCTGTTTGTGCATATGATTTATTTACATGTTTGTTTCCCCCATTAGACCAAGAGGGCAGAGAGTAGGTCTCATCTGTCTTTGTTTACATAACTGTTGGAGCATTGTCCCATACACCAAAAAGGTTATGGGCTAAATTCCTGGTCAGGACACATGCCTGGGTTGCAGGTTTGATTCTCAGTTGAGGCATGTACCAGAGGCAACAAATCAATATTTCTCTCTCCATTGATGTTTCTCTCTCTCTCTCTCTCTCTCTCTCTCTCTCTCTCTCTCTCTCCCCCTCCCTATCTCTATCTCTCTCTCCCTTCCTCTCTCTAAAAATCAATAAACATGTCAAGTGAGGATTAAAAAAAGATTGAAACAGGGTACAGTTCAAAGGTTTGTTTGCTAACCTAATTAATGCATTTAACATAAAAATGATGATGTGGTATTATTGGGGTATTTTCAAAATAAATGCAGCCCTGACTGGTTTGGCTCAGTGGATAGAGTGTTGGCCTGCAGATTGAAGGGTCCCGGGTTTGATTCTGGTCAAGGGTACATGGCCTGCATTGTGGGCTTGATCCCCAGTGGGGGACGTGCAGGAGGCAGCCGATCAATGATTCTCTCTCATCACTGATGTTTCTATCTCTCTTTCCCTCTCCCTTCCTCTCTGAAATCAATGAAAATATTTTAAAAATAAAGTAAAAATAAAATCACCTGACTATTTAGTTAGGCACTGACATTTTTTCCCTTATGTTGTCATAGGTCGATGCTTAACTACTGAGCAGTACTGGCTGGGCAGAAGGTGGGATTTTTTTAAAAATATATTTTATTGATTTTTTTTGGGAGGGGGAATGAAGGGAGAGGGATAGAGAGTTAGAAACATCGATGAGCGAGAAACATCAATCAGCTGCCTCCTGCACACCCCCACCTGGGGATGTGCCTGCAACCGAGGTACATGCCCTTGACCAGGAATCGAACCCGGGACCCTTCGGTCCACAGGCTGACTGACGCTCTATCCACTGAGCCAAACCGGTCCAGGCAGAAGGTGGGATTTTTTAAACTCCAGCTTCAAAGCCTTGATGAACTCTTCATTTGTGGTATAATTAAACAAAAAAACAAACAAACCTATTTCTTTTAAATTATACATTTTGGATTGGTTTGGGGATTGTAGGGTTATTTATTTATTTATTTATTTTTAGTGGGGGAGCAGAGGACAGGGGCTAATTGATATGTTCTTATGGATAAGTTTTACTTTTTTCCAGCAAAATTCAGCTATTTGAATAATTGTAAATTTTTTTTGCTTTTAATTTTGTTAGTGCCATTCATCATAGGATTTTTATACTTTAAAATGTCAACAGAGCATCACAAATGAGTTGTCATCTCAAACAAAACTATTACTTTACACACCCAGCTGGTGTGCTCAGTAATTGAGCGTCGACCTATGAACTAGGTCACGGTACCATTCCTGGTCAGGGCACATGCCTGGTTGCAGGTAGGGGGCGTGCACGAGGCAGTTGATCAATGATTCTCAGCTGATTGATGTTTCTATCTTTCTCTCTCTCCCTCTACCTTCCTCTCTCTGAAATCAATAAAAACATGGTATTTTTTAAAACCTACTAGCTTATAAAATGTTCCTCTGGAAAATCTTTGGTTAGGGTCTTTCTACAAAAGGCCCGGGGGTTAATTCTTTGCTCAAAGGGCAACATTTTATTGAGCTAATTTTAAAATTCTCTTTCCTCCAATATTTGTTGTCAGGCAGACTATAGTTCAGTATGCAATATTCTACAAAGTAGCTGCCAGTGCTACAATTAATGAAGCAGATAATATGTATTCAGGGTCTAAATTAGAATCAACACCTTCACATCCATTATACTTTTTGGGATGGGGGAGGGCAGGAGTGAAAACGAAGATTTTCTGGTGTGTTTCATTGGTTCCCAAACCCCTTCTAATCTGAACATGATGGGGCCCAGCTCAGGTGGTTTATCTCAAATTTCATGAAAGCAGGTCAAGGTCCTTTGTCTCTGTTTAGGTAAAATATGGAAACTTGTCCAATAGTAATGACATCACTTGGCTCCTGACACCATTGTCCTCAGAGGAATGTGGATACTGCACATATGGAAAGCTGAGACAATATTTGCTTACCCTCGATATCTAATACTTCAGACATTCCAGAACTCCTGTCACAGTGTTTACATTGTGTGGCTACTTATTTTTTCAATTGAGTTAAAATTATACTCGTATATGGTAAGAAAAAAGATTTAAAATCACTCTCTTAAAAGGAAAATAAGTAGCACTTGCTATAAATGGGATGAGAAACTGTGAAATCATACAAGGTGGGAGAGAAGGAATTCCTTCTTGTGAGACTTGGCATCATTTCATGCTGCCCTCTAGGCTATAGTCAGGTGAGTACTTGCTCCACACTCTGAGAACCCCAATTCAACCAATTTTGCCCTGCCGCCCTGGTCAAGGAAGTTAATTGAGTTTATCTTTCAGGATCCCAGTGTTTTTGTTTTTGTTTTATGTGTGTATGTGTGTGTTTAGTTTGTTTCCTTACTCTCACCTGAGGATATGTTTATTGGCTTTAGAGAGAAAGGGAGAGAGAAACATCAATTGTCTCCCATATGCGCCCCAAGGATCGAACCCACAACCTAGGTATATGCCCTGACCAGGAATTGAACCTGTAACCTTTTGGTGCACAGGACAATGCTCCAACAAACTTAGCTGCCCAGCCATGACTTTGTTTGTTCGTTTAATTACATTAGGGACAAGCAGAAAACTAAAGGAACTATCAACTCACCATCCTATTTTATGATCTGGCTGTTGACAGTTTCCTAGTTAACTCTTAGTAACCCACATCAATCACTTAAATTTTGTAAAAATTATTGTGGGACAAACTCTCCACTTGTAAAATCTCTAAAGTAAATCTGTATGTATTTTTTCTTATAAGGTAATTAGCCCATTGCCAAAAGGTTTTACCAATTTATTTTTATTTTATTTTTGTTAATCCTCACCCAAGGATACAATTCCATTGATTTTTTAGAGAGAATGGAAGGGAGGGGGAGAGACAGAAAGAGGAACATCAATGTGAGAGAGACACATTCCATTGGTTGCCTTACACACACACACACACACACACACACACACACCCTGAGCCAGGGATCAGGCCTGCCTGGTCTGATTTCAGTAAAGGGCGCAAGTCCAGGTTGTGGGCTCGATCCCCAGTGTGGGGCATGTAGGAGGCAGCTGATTTATGATTCTCTCTGATCATTGGTATTTCTATCTCTCCCTCTCCCTTTCTCTTTGAAATCAATTTTTTTTTAAAAAAGCCATCGTAATCAAAGCAGCCTGGTACTGGCACAAGAACAGGCATATAGACCAATGGAACAGAACAGAGACCCCAGAAATCAACCCAAGTTATTACACTCAATTAATATTTGACAAAGGAGGCAAGAACATACAATAGGGTCAAGACAGTCTCTTCAATAAATGGTGTTGGGGAAATTGGATGCAAAAAAAATGAAACTAGACCACCAACTTACATCCAACACAAGGACAAGAATAAACTCAAAATGGATAAAATTCTTTTTTTAAAAAAATATATTTTTTATTGCTTTTTTACAGAGAGGAAGGGAGAGGGATAGAGAGTTAGAAACATTGATGAGAGAGAAGCATCAATCAGCTGCCTCCTGCACACTTCCTACTGGGGATGTGCTCACAATCAAGGTACATGCCCTTGACCGGAATCGAACCTGGGACCCTTCAGTTCGCAGGCCAACACTCTATCCACTGAGACAAACCGGTTAGGGCACATCATTTGTTTTCTGATTGGTGGGGTAACTGCTGACTCAGTGATGAAGAGGGGTTGTGAGGTGAGAACAATGGGTAGTATATGATTAAGCATTTATCAAGGCCTAGTTTCAGCTCAGGCCTACAGAAGAAAAAGGCTGTCTTTGATCACATAATTATAATACAGGGATTATTATTATTATTATTATTGATTAATTTTAGAGAGGGAGGGAGGGATAGAGAGAGAAAAAACATCAATTTGTTGTTCCACTTATTTTTGTTGTTGTTGGTGGTGGTGGTGGTGGTGGTGCCCTGACCGGGAATCAAGCCATGACCTCCTGGTTCATAGGTCTATGCTCAACCACTGAACCACCCTGGTGGGGCTGTTGTTCCACTTATTATGAATTCATTGGTTGATTTTTGTATGTGTCCTAACTGGAGATTAAACTCAGGACCTTGATGTATCAGGATGATGTTCTAACCAACTGAGCTACCTGGCTAGAGACAATAGGGACTATAACAACGATTCCAGGAGTGCAATTTATCACAGTACTACACATACTTGGTTGAAATCCCTGTACTACCACTTACCGTGTGAGTTAGATCAAGAGACCTGTGCTGGGTTTCCATTCCCTATTTGCAAAACGGTGAAAATAATCTTCCCTCCAGTGGTTCAAGTAAGGAGAAATGGAGACCCCGAAGGTGTAGTGTGGGTGTATAGTGGGGGCTCAGTACTGTAGACATGGATGCTCTTCCTCACCCTGCTATCAATTCGTGAGATAACCACCGTCTTGTCTCCCACTACTCACAGATTTCTCCCTGGGAAAGCCTTTCCTAGAGCAAACTTGGATCATGATTAGCTCTGGGCACACAGGATTACTTGTTGGGCTGACCAGTGCCTTCGGGGAAAGGGACACTAATGGAAGGTCCAGTTTATCCCCGTTTCCACCCTACTTCTTCGCGCACACACCCCTCCCCCCGCCCCGCCCCGCCCCCCGCATTCATTATTCCGGGGGAACTAGAGGATGGCTTAAACAGGCGTCTGGATTTAACATGGCGCCGTCCTTTCCCTTGCAGGAGCCTCAAAGATGGCGATAACCACCGGGAGCAGACATGTTTGTCCCACGTGACCCAGGCCCAGGCCGGAGGCTGCCAGAGCGTGACGCAAGGTCGAGGCGGGGCTCCTTCCCCGCACCCTTGACGTCGAGCGCCTCGTGACAGGTACTTCCGCTCGGGGCGGCGGCGGTGGCGGAAGTGGGAGCGGAGCCGGAGTCTTGGCCTTAAAGCCCTAGGCGGCGGCTGTATTGGTGCTGGAGTCTGGGGAGATCGCCGAAGGGTCTGCGGGAATTGGAACTTGGACTGCTCGGTCCCCGTCATCCCTTGCACCTCCTTCTCGGCGGGAGCCCTTGTGACACGCCCGGCTCGGAGCGCCCAGCGGAGCGGCCGAGGTAAGCCGCGGGCCCAGCCCGGCCGGCTGCCCGGCCCCATCCCCCTCCTTAGCCCCTCAGTCGCCAAGGCCTCGCGTCATCCTTTTCTTGGGCAGCTCTGGGTCCAGCCGGCGCTTGGCGCGGGGAGGCCGCGTCGCTCAGGCCCCGGGAGCAGGCCCGGCCTGGGAGAGGTCAGAGGTTGCTGGCTGTGACCTCTGGCCGGCTGGCCGACCCCTGGCCGGCGGTCACGGACGCCTTGTTTACTGGTCGCGTCAAGACTGGAGCCCCGGGAAGGTTTCCTGACTTGGTGGCCGCCGGGCACTGGGAGCCCTGTGCGGCGGTGGGACGCGCCGGTTGCGTTCCTTGGAGCGGCGATCGGGAGGGTGTCGGAGCCGATCCCCAGCTGTTGTGTCGGCTGGGGACCTAGTCGCCACCATCGGCGCGGGCATTGGTGAAATCGCCCAGGTCTGAGCCACTTTTCTGTCTCTTCGGTCGAACAGGCCCTGACTCTTCGGTGCGAGAGGTCCCCTGAATACAGGCAGTGAGTCAGGTCACATGCACTGGGCTCGCCTCAAACACTTGTATACATGTGACACGCCTCTGGCTCTGGGAGGCAGGGAACTTTTTATCATAAACATGTTACAGTAAATCCTGAAAGAAGTTGTCAAACTTACTGGGGGAAAGATGGTGGTTGGCTGAAGAGCTGTGTGTGAATTACAACCGCGCGTCGGCGGCCGTCTTGCTGCATAATGGTTCCTCAAAGTGGGAAAATGGAGAATAATCCTAGCAAACATTTGACTCCTTATACTATGCTGCGCAGCATGGCAAGGTCGTTGCAGAGATTATCTTTAATTCTCAGAGCAGCCATTATAAAGTACCGTTATTGTGCCCACTGTAGATAGGGAAATCAGAGAACAGAGAGGGTGTCTTTTGTCTAAGGTCACACAGCTGCTAAGTTATGGAGCAGAGATTCAAGCGCAGGCAGGCAGACGCCAGAGCACTGCTCTCGGCCTGTGGGTACAGTGCTTCCAGGTGACCCTGAAGCTTGTGATTTATCTTCTGCCACCTGGTATCTGCCTGTCTCCCTCTCTGTCGCCTTTTCTAGTGATGTCATTTGAAACCCTCCTTTGGTAAAATTAGTTCTACCCCAAAGCCGTAAAGTACTCTTGTTTTCAGTTGTGACTTTTAACACATCTTTTTGTAGTGTGATGCCAGTAAATTAGGAGCTCTAGAATTCTAACAAAGTACTGAATTGAGTTTGTAAATTTTGGTTACCTAAATCTTCTGTCAAATGAAGTAGGCCTGGCTATCCTGCCATGTCAACCTTTCTTAAAACCTTAGTACATTGTGTATAGCCAGTAGGTTCTTTCTTGTTGAAAATAACTGTATCTTCTCTTTGGATTCCAAAAGAATAGGCTCTTGTCTCTTGCTTGTGACTTAAGCAGCTTATTAGCTGTATGACTGCTCATCGTGGAATAATAGCCCCCTATTAGTGTGTTTCTCTCTTCAGACTTGGGAGAGTTTGTTCAGATTTAAGTCTAAGAACTGGAAAGGGAGTTGTAAGTATTTCTTTTTTTGTAATTTTTATTTATTGATTTTGAGAGAGATAGAAGCAGTGATTTGTTCTTCCATTTATTGGTTGATTTTGTATGTACCCTGACCAGGGGTCCAATCTGCAACCTTGGCATATCGGGACAATGCTCTAACCATCTGAGCTACCCAGCCAGGGTCAAGGTGTGAGTACATCTGAAGATACTGTCCAAACTCAAGCTTAGTATTACAATTCTAATTTCTTTTTTTAAAAGTATATTTTTATTGATTTCAGAGAGAAAGAGAGAGGGAGGGATAGATAGAAACATCAATGATGAGAGAGAGTCATTGATTGGTTGCCTCCTGCACGCTCTACACTGGGGATTGAGCCACTGCCGGGGCATGTGCCCTGACTGGGAATCGAACCGGGGTCTCCTGGTTCATAGATCAATGCTCAACCATTGAGCCACACCAGCTGGGCTCTTTCTTATTTTTTTTTTAACTTTGCTACCCAGCCTAATATATTTAAAGTGAGTAATAAGTATGGTAGCCTTAAGTAATATGTTACGTTTAGAGGAGAGTATTATAAGCACCTTTTCATTTAGTCATCAAATGTTTTGAGTATCTGCCATGTATCAGGCATTGCTGGATATTGACTCAGGGAGACAGGCATTGTTCCTGTCCTCAAGGAAATAAAAAATGGCGAGTGATCATGGCCAAGCATATTGTTGTGGAATGGCTTGGCTGTAGAACTTGAGGCTTTTGGAAAGAGGAGTTGTTTCTTATCTCTGCGAGTAAATCCATAGTGATCCAGTGTTTTGGCTAACTTGAAGGCTTTGTTAATTTAACAGCATTTGTATGGTTTGCTCTTTAAGAGAGTATGGAAGAGAATATTATGGTTTCTAATTGATCGTGTTTTTTGAAGAGTAACCTTCAACAATAAGCTTGTTTCTCCTTTTGCTCTAATGGGAGGGAGTTCATGTCCTGCCATTTAACGCTGCAAATGCTAGCTGTTGCAGTGCCCTTAGAACAAAGACACATTTGGCATGCTGGATTTTTCTTCTTCAGCTGATGAGGAAAGTTTAATGTAGTGCCTACCAGCCACAGTACCAGCATCATCCTAGATAAAATCTATGCTACCCATCTCCCAAAACTGTGTTGGCTCCCTCTTCATTAAAGGGGATCTGAGTTGCATTTATAGAACTGCAGAGTAAACAAACAGAAAGGTGGAATGTAGGAGAAGGTACTAAAAATGTTTTTGTTTTGTTTTGTTTTGTTTTTAGTATATTCCTCCAGATAATCGTTAGCAACCACTTGAAGCAACATTTTTATTTTTATGTAACTTTGCAACAACTGGGTCTAAGCCCCCAAACCCCCATAATTAAAAAGCATTGCTTTATAATAAAAGTGTGTCTTTGAATTCAATTCCCAACCCCACAACCAAATGATTCAAAAAGGTTTTGATTTTTGATTAGCTTTGAATAAATCTCTAAAGACATCTGCACTAATAACATTTTCTGCCTTAACATTTGATTTGATATTAGCCTTTCTGTGCAAAAATGTAGCAAACCCAGACTCCAAACCACACATGTGTGACAATTGTCTTAGATACTGTTCCTCTCTGAGATTTGACATATTTACCGTTATTGCTGTGATAAATTGTCTGGTATTCCATTTATATAATTCAACACACATAGCTAAGAAAGATTTGACCAGATATTGGACTGGGAGTTACAGGTAAGGTCTTCCAGGGAAGTAAGGAGAGTAGTCCTCCCTGAGTAAGACTAAAGAGTGGTTCCCCTTGGTACTGACGCCATTCTCTAAAGGAGACTGAAGCTTTAAAAGTTAACTACTCCCTTCCACCCCATTTTGTACCTACTGACTTTCTGCTGACTCTTAATCTCCCATGTAACATTGCCATGTATTCCAGGCATCCATTCCTATGTGTTATTAAACACTTATCTATTAATGCCATCTAATAGATCTCTATGTTTGTCTGCAGTTTGCTGCAGCAACATTCTGCAATATGTCTGTATTTTCAGTTATTTACTCTCACATTTTCTTTCAGTTTTCTGCCATTTTTCGTCCACATATGCATTATACACAGAAAAAATAGTTTGCATTTGTTTTTTAAAACTTCTCATGGTGATTGGGTAAAAGTGATGTGGTAGATGAAATCAGAACAGGCTTTTTAGCAGTGTTTCTGACTAGCTTCAATTTTAGTACTCCAGTCTGATTTCAAAATCAAATTTAAGAATAGCTACTTGCAAAATGTCTTTTGGGGAAAGAAAGAGAGCTTGGATGTTAGGTCCAGTGGTGACATACAGTATTGACCTTGTTCATTTGCCTGAAGATACAGTACTTGATGCAGGGGACCTTAAGCCTTGCCTATGGCTCCCTGTTTAGGTGATGTCATCACTGCTGTGGGTATCAGTCTGACTGATTCTGTTGTCCATTTCCTGGTCGCCTAGGACTGCTTTATGTCAGTACAGAACAGATCTGAGGACGCATATTAAGGGAGGCCTCGGCACTGGGCAGTGTTAAGAATTCTGTAACTTGCTTGGTTCTCAAATGCACTTGTGTGACTGCTGCCAGACACAGTGAAGGAGCGGCTGGCTAGCTGTTTTCCCTTCTCTTTCAAGTAAAGATGCCTTGCTTCTTACTACTACTTTCCTGGAGTTATCCAGCTCAGTTCAGGAATCCTTTAACAATTACATTGTGGTACATTTGAAATTAATGCAGAATAATATTGGATGTAAACTTGTAATTGAAAAAAATTTTTAATTTTTAAAAAAATTGCATTGTAAGTAAATAGTTATGTCATTGGTCTCCAGTCTTTGTATGCAATTTTAATTAAAAAGTTTTATTTCCATATGACAAACCTTTTAGTTTGAGTTACTTGAATATACATGCCAAAGCTACTGTGAATTTTCAAAAAACCCAGCCATAGCAACATAGACTTTAAAAATAGTGCCTATTACATATGGTGTTTAATCAGTCTACCAACAATTCTCTATGCACCTGCAGATCTGGGAATCCCTGAAGTAACTTTGGGTCATCTGAGTAGCAGGTTAAATGCCGCTCTTAACACATTGCGTACCTCATAGAAATTTCTAAGACATACGCCAGGGACCGCGCGTTTTTGGCCAAACTGCATGTTATTTAAATCATCATAACTACAGATCATAATGCACGTTAGGTGTTGTTTTTCAATAATTATAACATTTTTATTTACTTAAACAATTAAAAGTTCCTAGTACTTTTTTAACGTATGGTACTGCGTAAAACATTTTCCTCTATGAAGAGGGACCAAACAAAATTTACATAAGTATCTAGATTCACTCCTTTTTCCAGGGACGGCACAAACTCTGCAGGCTCTCGTAGGAAATTTTCTCTTTCCACTCGCTGGAATACACATAGGTTCATGCTGCTTCATATCACCTGACAACCTTTTGGGTGGATCTTTACAAGGTGTTCTCCTTGCACCCCCA